CGCTACGTAACATTTTAGCAGGTTGGCAGAAGGGATTTTATAACGTTTATATTTTGTTTGAGTAAATGGTTGATTGTGTAGGGCAATCAGTTGTGTGACCACATACTTGGGTTCAAATACGTACACACATCGAACATAATTTTATTGTTTGTTAAAATAGCTTTAAGTCATTCGACCCTTGTTAATTCGTAGGAGAAAATTTTTCGGGATATAGTTTTATATAAATTCGTCGATATTACGTTTGGTATTTTATACACGTGATTTCGTAAAATCAGATTTTGTTCGTTGTTTTTGGAATCTGCTGATACGTTGAAAGGATCTGGATTCTATTATTACATTTGTTTGTTGGATGTCTTGCTAACGTTATTCCAACTTCCTTTTATTTCCAACCTGTATTCGTAAGAAATTTAACTATGTTATGAAGCCTGCATACTGCATTTTATTTTAATATACTGAAATTTTGAAATGCTCTACAACCTTTTAGGTTTCTGAAAAAAATCGACGGATTTAAGTGCAGGCTACCACAGCATTTCTTGAGACAAAATAACAGTTTGTGTTCATTATTATGAACCTGTAGCCACAAAATAGGGGGTATTTCAAAGTTTAAAATCGTAAAATCTCTGAACGAAGCGACACAAAACTCAAGTTCTGATGACTGTTTAAGGGATATGACAATTTTTTAAACCAGAACATGTGTTGTTTGTTGTCCATAGTTCACAATCAATTTATCGTATAATCAGATCCATCCTTCGTTTAATGTTTGCCAGTCGCTGCTTGTAATTGTAAGCTGTTGTGTGAAATTACTTGTCTCTGAGACTCAGGAAAAGATGCGTGTGTGACACAGTACTCGGTTGTTGTTGTCCTTTTGCCCCAAATATTCTGATAAATTTCCTCATTCCTTTCAACATGCCGAGACAAAATAGTTAAGGTTGTTTAAGGCTGCTTCGTACTCAGTCTCAATTACTGTAATGAACCTGTGTAATGTCGTTTCCATTAGCGACGAAGGAAAATCGTGTAGCGTGGTTCAAGGAAACAATAGACTCTTAACGGCCCTTGTTCGTCATGATAACAATGTTTCCATTTGTGAGTCTGATTAACAGGATCACGGCAACAGAACTAACAGAATAATAATGCCGGCTGTTTGTGACGTCACTGTAGCAATAAATGCGTCGGAGAAGGGGGGGAATCCGATGAAGTCAACGCTGCGGGGCGTTTCATCATGTTCCAATTCACTCCATCAACTGGAAAAAAGCTGGCAGCTCATTTATAGGGTGGGAGAGGTGCTGGTTTATTCTCTGTGTGACCTTCTGAACACAAGGCTGCATTGGAATTCTGATTTTCTTCCTTTATAGGTAAATTTTAAGTGATATTTACAGGAAATGGCTTACATAAAGTGAAAACAATGGATAGGCTAGTTAACGGATTAATATCAATTGTGGCGTGGATAATATGCACAGAGACTTGTGATGCGTAGATTATTTACTTTGATCCATATCGGCTGCAGTGTAAGCCTTATTTACGTGAAGCCGGAGTTAGATTTGCGAATTTTTGAAAGTTATATTGTTATACATACGGAATAGGGCAATTGTTCAGAAATAGGCTATATATCTTATTGATATTTATAACTTTTGTTTGAGTAACTTTTAACAAGTTTATGCAGTGACTGCAGTGTGATATCTGTACTGTTTTTACTTTTGTTAATAGTAGAATTTATGTGTTATATTTTTGTAACGTTGGTTATTTATCTTTACAATACATTCGTATCTGCAGTAGTAAGAACAGCAGCACAGTTTATGGATTCGGAATCAGAAAAAGAAAAAGAAAAGAAATAATTTTGGTAAGTCTGTGTGTACTGCAAATTGAAACACGCCTTTATCTTGTTAAGTTTATCTAAAATAATTGTAGCTGAAGCTTGCCTGGGCTCAAGGATTGTGTGCTTTGCCTTGTGCTGTGTCCACAATTAATGTCATGTATGTAGGTCGCTACCACGCAGTTACATGTGTTGCTGTAAGCTACGGTATGAATTTTACATTACAGTGTGACAAAAAAGCTCAGCATTTAATTTTCGTTCTTCTCTTTTGACTCGGACCATACGCACAAGATGTTGTATGTTTACCCACAGAGTCTGTAGTATAGCATGCCGGACGATGTAACCCGAGTGTGTGTACGTAACGAACAGATATAAAACAATTGCCTGCAAGTGCCTGTGTTGAACGGAAATCTGTATCAAACGGAAAAATTGTTAGGTCCATTGGGATTCCGAACAATCAGATCTTACTCCGTGTTGTGTGTGACGTGCATTACATCCAATGCTTTGCGGATGTGTTGCGGTCACTGTTTGCTTGTTGGTATTCTAGTCCAGAAGACGTCTTTATCAGCGAACTACCGCGCACGGTAGTTTCGTTTTTGGGGTTTTCGGTGTGTTCTTAGTACATGAGTGTATGAGACTCTTGCATACTTCTTCTGTGGCTATTCCACTCAGCCTGCCAGAATAAGCGTAACTTCGGTGTGTCAGAATATCTACAAGACCCCGCCCTGTGTAAGTACTCAGGTGGTAATTTTATAAAGGACCGGTTTTTAGGACAGAAGGCAAGGTAACTGACACTGATTTAACCACTGCTACAGAGGCTCTACTTCTATGTTTCCATTCAGATCTTGCGTGAATCAGTTCTACTGTATTCGAAGAACATTTGTTGAATGCTGGCAAAAGTGTAGACCCTAGAATTTATGAGTTTCGGTATCCATGCCGATAACATTTCCATTTGCTTGTTAAAAAATTTACTTTTGGGGAAAATATTTGACCTCTTTGTCTATATATAACTTTTGAAACCCGTTTATGATTTGAATAAAATCTGGCGCACGCGTAGGCTTCTGGCAAGCAACGTTACCACAGTCTTACTGAACTTCGCGATCGGTGGTTAGTATTCCTGCTTCGTATTCGCGAGATTGTGTGTTCAAGTCCAAGTTTCATAACAGTTCGTCAGTTAGTTCAAGAGTTCTTAAGGCTAACTGACACACGGGTCTGATAATACGAAAGTGCATTTTGGTCCTTTAATACTTGGTTGTGCTCTGTTTACATGGGAACGGGTCTGTGGGGAAAAATTCAGTTACGTACTTAATATAACACGGGTTTCTTCTTGTTGTCCTGTGACAAAATTTTCTGGAGGGAAGGAGTTAGTGGTACGAGGGCACAGAGGATAGGAAGAAATTGGGGGAGAATGACAATAGAATGGGGCTGATGAAGTGAATGTGAAAGGAATACGGTAGAAGAGGAAGAGGAGAGAGATAAAGGAATTAAATAATGTGAACAAAGGGGTTAGAGATGAAGGTGTGAAAGAATTGATTTTCAGTGGACTTTTAACAGTAGTTTTGTTATCGAATCAGTAATGTAGATTAGAAATTAACATTTGCAAATTAATCTTGGTATAAACTAAGTGTGGGCAGCAGAGTGCCTCTTTTGATAGAAGGGAACGCGTTATAGAGCAAGAAATGCTAGAAAAAAATACTATACGCTCCATCGGTGATTGTTTTTATCGTGGTTTTTCATAACAACATGTTTTTAAAAAAATGCAGAAACAAATTTAATCGGTCTGGCCAACATCAGGAATTATGTATGGACTGTGTAATGATCTTATCTACAACTTAGGGTCTACACCGTGTAAGGTCCGCCCATGCCTCACTCATTCCTTGAATCGAAACCTGTTCACTTGCAGTGAAGATTATTTAAAAGACACGATGCAGAGAAGAATCGGGGCAGTGTTTATTTAGCGATTGCCAGCAGTGCAGTGGTATATGGAGGGAATTGACCCGAAGATGGACCCGTGAGTCCGAAACACGTCGTGATATACATTAAGACACGTGAAGATAATTTTAAAATTGTGCAAAGACGGTCAGTAATTGTATATGTACTTTCTTACACAACGTGACACTCCGATGCTGTCTTGCCAGTTTCTTTTGATGGGAAGCTCTCTGGACCGTACGGCCAGTTTTGGTGCGATGTTTAAGAAAACCGCTCTGCAGTTTCCAGGAATGGGACTCCGATTATCCACCTAGTAGTCAATAATTTTACTGATATGGCTGTCACAGCTGAAATCGAAAACAGGGTAACGAAATTATGTGTAGGCCCTATTAGACCGTTGATCAGCTGTTGCTTTGATGCCGGGATTCGAGTAGGATAATACATTTAACTTTAATCATTTACTTTAGTGTATTTATCCGCTGGTCATTAAAAATGTCGTGACTCAGAGGGCCAGGAAAATAAAACTGACATGTGTGATGTTACATGAACTTTCAGA